CAGAGACAGAGATAGAGAAGAGCTAAATTTTGGGTTTTGGCATATACCAAAGTAGAGTTGCATGTAAATGTTGGAAGCCCCACTTTCATACCCAAGGATACCTGCAAAAGTTTCCATGGACATCCCATTACAAAGAGGGTTAATTCTTTCCTATAGAATTATAGGATGTAAAGTGGTGCTATCAATTCATAATGCAGTGGGATATGATGGTTGTTGGGGAAAGCAAACATTTCATGTAAGGTAAATATAACCTTCATCAGGTAATATTTTGTAAAGGGCAGTAATGATTCTTCTTGTTGTTATTTTTTTCTCCTGTAGCGAGTAGGTTGGCTTGCTTGCATGAGTCTTCTCTTGTTATTTGCTGCCGAGGAGCATTTTAGTGGTGCTTTTGATTGTTTGTAAACATGATAGTCTACATGATAGCCTTGATGTTGTGATCAAAAATAGGGGAATTGGTAGAGGAATCGTTCCAACTTTGGGTGAAGTAACATTGGACACTTGCAGAAACAGACTTTCAAACATTTTCCTCTATTAGACAGCTATGAATAAGCATCAGAGTCCATTTCCAATGGAAAAAGAAGGGGGGGGGTGTCTACTCACTTCACCTTTTGCTCTCTCCCCTGAAATCCTCAACCCAGTCATTTTTCACCTGAAATTAAAAGTAAGGCCAATTGCATGATCCTAATCTCAGTCTCATACCATTCCCTCTCCACTGTTTTGCTTTATAAGCCCCAACCTGGTAACAGCAATTTACTGTGTGTGAACATATGTTACCTCTTGTTCCAGGTTTGAGGCAATGAATAGGACTGGAAAGGCAGACTCTTAAGAATATTCTTCCTGGATCAATCAAAAAGATATCTCAACCAGTCTTCTAGGCCAAAAGTGGCTGGCCAAAAATAAGTGGAGTCGCACAAGGAGGATAGGAAAAATAATGGGCATCTTCTTTACTTGTCCTCAACAATTCAGCTTTTTATAATCTGTTGCCCCCCACAAATGGTTTGGATTAAACTCTTCATAATTCCCCACCAGCTTCATGGTACTTGGTCCCACCCAAGGTTGGAAAAGGCTAGTCTAGTATTTGTATGACTCTATATTTTTAAAATAACTGCAATTGAATAAGTGGCAAAATATTCAGGATGGATGTGCTAATTTTTAATCTGTGAAAGGGGAAGGCAGTGGCAGGAAGTGCTAGCTGTTCTTCTTTATCCAAAAGATGCACTCAAAATAGAGTCTTCCCTGCCATTTGGAGATATAAATTGTGTGGCATGTCATACATGATTCAGTCACTTGCCCAAGCCATAAATAAATAAAAGGGGATGTAATTTACTGGTTAAAAGAAAAAACTATGAATCACAGTTAGAAATTCCTTAGGTTTCTAGACAAGCTAGTGTTATTATGACTATTAAATTGTTGACAGTCATGAGTGCATTAATACTTTGGTTCACCAAAATTCTGGTAATTTTTAAGGTCCTGAATAATTTGTATGCACATTCTGGTTTTGGAGCATTCACATTTAAAGATATTTTACATATTTACATATTAGCAAGAATCTTTAGCAAGTCAGAACCATCTTGCAATGTTGATACTCTCTTCCCAACTGTATCCTACTCCATATGAGAGCACCAACTTTGCCTCCTTTGATTATTCCTATTTTTGCATTGCCAGGAATTACAGCACTGAAGTTGTTTACCGTGTTTCTTCTTTGCTCCAAAATTCATACTGGAGCTCAGTCAATGAAATGAATGAAGAACTAAAGTTTGTATTAATGCCAAATTATCTCAAATTGGAAATTTTAATGTATCTTACACTGAATATCTCTATGACTGGAGAACATCCCTTCCAAAATCCACAATAACTTTCTCCATTAAAATCTGTTCTTTTTGCACTACCCACAGATGAAAATTAAGAATAAGAAAATGGGGATATGCAGCTCACAGTAAAATTGTTTTGGCCCATCCATAGAAGAGAACCAAGTTCTCACTGCCCACTTTGCTTAATGACAGGGCCAGCCCTGCACAGATTTTATACCACCCAAACATTATTGCCCCCAAAAGCCTAGACCAGAAGGCAATGGTATTTTTCCCTAGTTCACACAGTGCATGGAATTTTGCCCCAGTAAACTATCTCTGCTAGTTTGTGAGCTGAGCTGTGGTGTATCTGTTTTTCTGCCTCAGTCCTTCTGACAGACATAAGGGTAGGTTCGCACACAACAGACTTTCCCTCATTACTATGTTAACCCATTTTCTGGGGTCAAACAATATATTGAATCATAAAGTAATCCAAGGAGTTGGGTTATCACAACACAATCAACAATCACAAAAGACTAAGCTAGGGGTAGGGTTAGGGTTAAAAGCCCCTGTCATTTACATGAGATTCATCGAGGTCACAAGAAGGAAAGAGTGTCCAGATTCCAGCAAGTATGAATGAATGAGTCTATGTAATATAGTGGATCAAAAGTGTTGGCTCCAAACAGAAGACATCTACAGGGGGGTGATTTGTGGAAGGTCATATCTCTCATCTGATTTACCTAATAGAGTTGTCAAGGACATAGAAGGGAATAATTTTCTGTGTGCCGTTTGGAGCACTTTGGAGAAAATGGATGGGGAGATTGGAGATTCAAAAGTGATGAATAAGTAAACTTATTTTCTTGTTGACAGGTAGCTCCTCCTCACCTGAGGGGGAGCCGGGAAGTACGGAGCCTGCGAAGCAACTCATCTCCCACAAAGCTTCCCATAATGTACGTTTCTAGGGCCTGGAGACATTTGAGTTTGGTTGTGGTAATTTGTAAGCAGTCCCCAAGCCATCAAGGATCCACCAGCAGAAACCTTTGGAGTGCCCTTTCCATGAAGTAGCCTTGAAAGCCACAATGGTGCTGGGGTTGCCAAACAATTTCTTTTCTACATAAATGCAACATACACGTCTTGGATTTTTATACAGTCCCTACATAATTATTATTTGATTCAAAGTGCCTGAAATAACTTTGCTTGAGGTTCAAAAGATCAAATCAAATCTTTATTAAGGTCATAGATCAGCATAAAGGTTCAAAAGAATTTGCAAAATATTAGAACATTTAAACAGTATTTAAAACAATGTAAAATATAACAAAGCTATAAAGCATCAAAAAGACATTTTGCGAGCATAAAACAAGTGGTCCATCTAAGTATTTCTTTAAAAGATAAATTAGGGTGCTGTCTGATACTTCTATGCTGCAGTTTGTCATCAGTTTCCATTTGTCACCTTCCTATGTTCATCATAATGTAGTCCATCTTCTTTTTCTTATCTCTCTCTGAAAATCTATTAATAACAACTACAGGTAGTCCTCAACTTATGATCACAATAGGGACCAGAAAATTTGTCGTTAAGTGGTATGGTCATTAAGTGAGGCATCACATGACTACACCCAATTTTACAACATTTTTTGTGGTGGTGGTGAAGTGAATCATGTGGTCATTAAGCAAATCACATAGTTGTTAAGTGAATCATGTAGTTCCCCATTGATTTTGCTTGTTGGAAGCTGGCTGCGAAGGTCACAAATGGTGATCATGTGACCCTGGGGCACTGCAACCATCGTAAATACATGCTGGTTGCCAAGTGCCCGAATTTTGATCACGTGACCCCAGGGATGCTGTGACAGTTGTAAGTGCAAGGACCAGTCATAAATCACTTTTTCAGTACTGTTGTAATTTTGAATGGTCACTAAACAAATGGCCGTACGTCGAGGACTACCTGTACAATCCCTTTGACTGGAAGTGCTAGGAACCGTCTGTTTGCAAAATACAGTAATTTCACAATTTTAGTTAAAGAAATGGTGCAAGGAGGACCAATGACATTCCATTCCTTCTGATCCACCCCTTCCTCTTTTTAAAAAATCTAAATGGTGGGAGAGCCACGCATGGAGTTCCTACACCATATGTCAGATCTCAGTCACAAATACAGTGCTGTTTCAAAACAAGGAATATCATCCAGATGGATTTTAAATTTGGGGGAGGGGTGCTGCTTCTACCATCATAAAAACATTTTGTGAGCAGCCAAAAGTGCTATGGTTGTGGTGAGATATAAATTTGAGTAATAAACAGAATCATAACTCCCTTGCAGGCCTTTGCAAAGTTCAACCAAGTTTAAAACTACAATTTTCTCAAAAGAAAAGTGCAGAACCTCAGACATCAAACCTTTACTTTTCCCACACAGCTGTAAGCATTGCCCCAAGGGACTTAAGTGTCATCAAATTGAAAGTTTTAATGCAACATAAGAAAAATATTAAAAACCCAAGAGAAAAGTATTCCTATTGACTATATTTAATTTTAATTAAATAGCACCAAACCAACCTTGACAAAGGCCAGAAATGCTCAACACAGACAATCCTAGTGAATTCCAGGGATACACCAGGAAATCCCAACGCAATAGGCTACATTGGGACATCAAAAAACATCCCTGAAGAAAACAATATGGTTACCTCCATATAGCCACCAAGAAAACTTGGCAATGAGTCAGGCTTTATTTTAGTCAAAAGTAAATCAGGGTTAGTGTTTTGCCTTGATCCCCATCCACTACCCTTTGGAGCATATCCCTTGGCATCTAACCTAAAGACCTCAGCCTGCCAAAAATTGCACGCTCCTGCTCTAAACAGGAATAAAGGATACACAGCACAGGCTTTAGTGAGGCAGGAACAAGTGCACCTTTCATACAAGTACTTGGCAGGGGGTGGCAGTGGACTCGTAGAGCAGCTTTCCCCATCTCTTGTCCTGCAGATGTAGGAACTACAACTCTTAAAATTCACATCTATCAGTGCCCAAGTCCCCACACATCTGGAGTGCAGCAACTTGGTCCACAGGAAGGCTGCTATCTACTTTTCTTTCTTAAAGGGATTTTCTTTTTACTACTATTCCTTGTGTCCCTAATGTCCTCATCACTGGGGGAGATATGCAGCAGGTAAAATTGTTGTCCCCCTTCCCCCCCAGTATATCCCTGCTGATAGAAATGTTGCCTGTTGAATTTCTGCCAGTTGCATCACTGTTAAAAAGCACTGAAGGAGGGAAAAGTGGCAATCATCATGACATGTTTTTGTCATTCTCTTCAGTCATATGTGGAACTTCATGAACTGGTCATGGACAAGAACAATGAGTTTCGCTGGATGGAGGCTTCTCACTGGATCAAACTGGAAGAGGACTTTGAGGAGATGGGGCATTGGGGGAGACCTCACCTTTCATATCTGACTTTCCAAAGCCTTCTGGAGGCACGCAAGGCTTTTAGCAAAGGTGAGGGAATGAACTGCAAGGATTGTGTCTGTAATGATTACTCAGTTTTCCATTAAGAACTTGCTGTTTGGTTGTATCAAGAGAATACGCTACAAGAGAAAAGGGAGGGTGCTTGCCCTCACCCTTCCCATTGTCCAAATCCTGATGCTATATTATATACAGGATCTATATTCATATTTGTATTGATATCCTGTGATGGACTTGTTCTCACCTGTTTTCTTGCCCCAACAAATATTCTTACAGTAATTTGGGGGACTTTGCCCAAGACTTCCAAAGGGGGGAAAAAGTCATTAATAATAACAAATGTAGGGGAAAGTAAATCTATACAGTATATCTATATTTATATCTACTATATCTACACCTACATTTATATCTATCTATATCTATTCATTCTATGTCTCTCTCTCTGTCCTTCAATCCTTCTATAGCACAATATAGCCTCAATGAACGATTAAGGAGTATCTTTAACAAGAGTAGCAGCTGGGCATTTATTTTGGGGAAAGGATTGAAAAATCACCTTAAAAGGTTTCTAATTCTCCTTTTGATGTACTTTATAATGGGAACAAATGTCTCTTTTGAATGATCAAAACAATGTTTCTTTTGGGTGATTAATTAAATCCCACTTTCTGCATTTCTAGGAACTGTCCTTCTAGACTTGCAAGAAAAGAGTCTAGCTGGGATTGCCAATCAGGTCCTTTCCCAAATGATCTATGAAGGGAAACTCAAGCCAGATGACCAAGAGGTGCTTTTAAGAACTCTCCTACTTCAGCACAGGTATTGGCAGGGACAGATATGACAGATGACATTTCCCCACCCAAGGAATGAATGGGACAGCCAAGAAAAATTGGCACAAATCAATGTCTAGATCTTCTTGGATCAGGCTTACTCCATAAATCAAGCTAGTGACAGATAGAGCAAATGGGTCATATTCAGGGGGAAAAGGATATATACTGAGGATGAAAGAGTATCAGATAAGACCTGCTCTGCTGCTGTGATCACCAATGCACAATATTTGGATTTCATTCCAAGCTCAGCACAAGGCCAGTAATGGTCCCGGTCTGCCCTCTATCTGCAAGATCAGGAGCAGGGAGGAAGACAGCAGAAGCATCTGCCTGTCATACTTACCTCTGGGGATGTGGCACTCAGGAAAAATGGGACATACAAGGAACTGTCCTGTGTCTGCTACCTTTTTGGTCTTTGGGCTCAACAGTTCCATTTCATCGGAACAGTGCAAAGAAGAGTATGATGATGATAATCAGGGGCTGGAAATTAAAATCTGTGCAATAAACTCAAGTTCTCTAGTTTTGGTTGTTGCACAATGGCTGTAAATTAATCTGACAATTTTACATGTATCAGTTGTCACATGAATTCTTGCCTGAAGACCTAGACATTATTTTTTTACTGTTGCATCCTTATTCTTTTTCTCTTCGTTGCACCTCACATTTTTTTCATCCTTTCCCCAGTCACCCTAATGAATCAGCTTCAATAAACACTCTCTCGCCTGCACTGGTGCAGCGGACAGATGCCAAAGACTCAGCTCAACCACTGTTGCAAGAACATCACCAAATTGAGATGAAGACCTTTTTTAATGGCTCAGAGCAGGTAAGTTAACTTTGGAGTAAATAAATGGAGAACATTTTATGACTACAGTGCCACGAGCTCTCGGATTCAAACTATAAATTTTCCCGTCTAAGTCTGGAATTGTATTCAGACCTCAGTGGTCCTCAGACTTGAAAGAGAACCAAGCAACCAAAGCAGTCATTATGATTGGTAGAAAGTATTAAATCACTGGATTGGCCAGACTTGGTATGACTACTCAAGAACTTGAACAAGAATGATTAAAAAAGGTTGCATGTTGTGTGAGCCCAACCTATAAGATGTAAGTCTTCTCTCCTACACTCATTCATACACAGTAGATTAATCCCAGCATGCTTACCAGAAAGCAAGCCTCACTGAGGCTTAATGCATTTTCTGTTGGATGCCAGGTTTCTCAAACTTTGCAATACTGCAATTTACGTGACTAAAATGAATTTCATGGGATTAAGATGGCACAAGAAATAAATCTGTAATAATTATATTTTAATCTATGGCTTCTCAAACTTTGCCAAACCAGGTTTTGATAGTGTGCCCACCCTGCCTCTGTAAGGCTGATCAGATTGTTTTTTCAAAAGTGTGATCTACTTTGAAGTTGCTTGTGACCACCATCACCCCACAGGAGTCCTGACCCTCAGTCTGAGAGCCTCTTCTCTAGAGGGTTTAAGCTTTAACCTGGGTCCCCAAAGATTGTTCTGCTTTTAGCTGAACATTGTATTTATTTTGCTTAAAATATGTATATGGCCACACTTCTTACAACAGGGCTGGACGGCCAACTGGGAATTAAAACCAAAAAACCACAAAACCACACAATTAAAAACAAAAATTGCAACCAGACATGCCAGAGATCTAAAAGTTAATTCCATTTTACAATCAAGTAAGAAAAATGATAACCAAACAAAGCAACCAACAGAGTTTGGCTACTATCCCAGTTCAAATGCCTGGTCCTTAATGCCTACGTCGATAAGAAATATTTAATATGAAAGCGGATTGCTGTTCCAGTTGTTCCTACATATATAAAAAGCATGCAAAGCAAGCAAATATTGAAAGCATTAAGGAAGCAGTCATTCAGGGAGTAAGAATGTATGCACGTATGGACAGTGTGTATATTTTATACATTACTCTTTAAAGTAAGACAGAGAAGAAAATCCATCATCATCGACTATATTGAAAACCTCTTTCTCTTGGGTTGTCCCATAGCGAATGTCTAAATAACTTCAAGTAGGCTATCTTAATCTTAATTATTTGATCTTAATTATTTTATAAGCCAGGCAGCTACATGGTGGTCAAGATGGTCAAATTCCAAGCATCTGATACTGGGGTCCCAAGCTGTACTGAGTTTTACAATGCTCAACAGAGTTCCAGAATTTGACTTGCTAACATACCAGCAGCCAATGCAGCATGTTCAAAGCATATAATTCAAGATCAGCTGCTCCCTTCAACAACCCAACCATAATATTTTGCAGAAGCTGCAGCTTCTGGATTAATTGCATATCAGGCAGCCCTACATACAGCACATTGTAATAGCCAGCCTTGAGTTACCAGAATACATGGATATGAACAGCACTGAGGGCAGAATGGAACCTCGTAGAGCTCCACTACTTAATCACCATGGGAACAAAATATGGTGACAAAAAGCCATTTCTGAGTATAGTCCTGCAGGTAAAAATAGAGTTACTGAACTATTGTGCCCTGGATTCCCAACCCACAGAGCTAGTTTAGAAGGATACCATGATCAAAAGCTACCAAGAAATCAAAGAGGACCAGCTATATTGTAGCCTCTCTCTTGGTAAAAGTCATCCATCAGAACACTCAAGGCTGATTTAGTCCAAATCTGAACCCATATTGAAATCGGCTTTCTTTCAGGAGCATCTAAAGCTGTGCTATCGCTCTTTCAAGCATCTTCCCTAAGAAAATATCTAATTTTCTCAAATTCAGAGAAAACATCTCCAAGTTGTTTTCTTCTTGCAGGGAGAGTCAAGTAATAGTGGCTTTAAGAAGCAGCTGTTAGATAAGATCCCTCCTGATGCAGAAGCCACTCTGGGACTGGTTGGTAAGTATCTTGTATGTTCAAGTGTAAAAGGGTTCCTGTTATAGGAAAGGTGTAATGGACCTCTAGAGCAGTGGGAGAACAGCTGTGTTGAACGTCATGTTTCATTTCTTGGCTTCTCCAGATAAGATCTCAGATAAGATCTTGAAGAATTGCTGCAATGACATCAGAATATATGCTGGGCATTGAAACTGATACACAGGTGCTGCAGTACACCAGAGAACCATTCAAAAATTTCCAGCATTCTAGGCCACAGTGTTCATATGGATGCCAAGAAATGGTTACATAGATAGATATGGGGTGGACTTGTGGAAAAATAAAGCCATGCTGAAAAATGTTATTTGCTGAAATAAGCATAATTACTAGACAAGAAAAACCATTAACCTTTATTAGCATTATTAAATATCTGTGAAAGGCAAAATTCACAGTTACATTACCTAATCTTAAAAGGACATATTTTATTGGCAACAAGACAAGCTATTGTCAAATTCCTGGAATAATTTGAAAGGATTGAAAATTATGCATTGATATGACAGAATATGGGTGACAGCATAAGCAGAAAAACCGACGGTAAATTTGGCCCGCAAAAGTATAGTAAATAAGGGTTGGGCAGTGATCCAGATTCAAAGGGAAATGATGATATGCACCATGTGTGGGCCTGCCTACAATCTCTGTTGGCACCTCCTTAAATCAAGGACTTTATTTCTTGGAATCATGCAACAGCCACCCTTCCCAGACAATCCAGGAAAAGATGCAGCTGTTTTAAGGAACCGCTCCGAATCATTTTTTCCCCTTCAAATCTGGATCACTGCACAGCTCTAACAGTAAATAAAGATAATTTTAATAGATTGGACAAGCGGTATAGCCTAGATGAATTCCATTGAAGAAAGATTTATTAACCCAGGACATTATTAAAAAATATGGGAAACATAAAACTGGATGTGCTTAGTATAGGCCTAAAATGTATATTTATTATGATCCACTGCATATGTCGATGGGTGCGCATGTATGTATGTTTGTAAATAGACAGATAATAGATAGTATTTTCTTTGTCATGTTTTTGTTTTATTTGTGTTAAAATATACTTTAAATACTTTTTAAAAGATATGCTGGGCTTAGGTGCACCATTTAGCTGGTCTGGTTTATAATTCTATATATGATACTTTATGGAGCCATTGAAGTAGGCTTATTTTAATTAAATCAAATCTCAGTGTCAGATTTCCCCAATTCAACAGCCACCAGATGTGTTGGGACTGGAGTTCTTGGTACAAGTAGTCCTCCGCTAACTATGGTAATTGGGACTGGAATTTCCATCAGTAAACGACGTAGTCGGAAAGCATGACATTACGTGACCGCACCACTTAGCGATAGCAATTCTGACACTTCCAGTTGCCGACATTAAGCGAATCCCGCAACGTCAATAAATGCAACATCACGTGGTTGCCATTTGCAACCTCCTGCCAGCTTCCCCACTGACTTTGCTTGTCAGAAGCCGGCAGTGACAGTCACAAACAGCAATTGCATAACTGCAGGATGCTGCAATATTGTAATTGTGAGCTGGTTGCCGAGTGCCCAGGTTGCAATCACATGAGTGTGGAGACGCTGCAACCATCATAAGTACAAAGACCACTTGTAAGTATCACTCGTTCAGCACTGTTGTAAGTTGGAATGGTCACTGAAGAAGTGGTCGTTAAGTGAGGGCCACCTGTATTCTCAACCAGTTTGGTCTTTGCTGGTTGTGGACTTATGAGAGTAGCAATCCCAACATTAGGTTGGGGAAGCCTTCTTGGCACAAATAATTTAGGAGGGCTGTTGATTTTATGCCTTACCTTTAAGTAGCCGCTGTTGAAAACAAGATAAAGGGCCCGTGGTCTTATGCAGCAGAATATATATAATATCTTTGACACAGAGAGCAATGAGGGGATTCTTCAAAAAGGGATCCTAGGATGTCCCATTAGATAAGATTTCAGGTTGGATGTTGTGAGATTTGTAAATGGCCAATCATTTGCTGCCTTGTGGGAATAAAATCACCTGAGAGAGTGCTGTTACATGGATCGTGATCTTTCATTGTGAATGATTGGGCAGATAGGTAAGCTAATAGTCTTTTTCCTAGGTTATTAAATTATGTAGATTTATATACAATATAGGAGTAGCTACTGTTTTAACTGACTTCTTTCCTGCAATATGAACCACAGCTTGATCTGTTGACATTAGCACTGATACAATGATCAGTTTGAGCTACTGATTCTTAAATTCCAAGCAATTCCAAGGCAGTATTGTATACCAGGCCTTCCTTTCTTTTTCTGGCCAATTCTCAGCACTTCCCATGAGCACATATTAGAATACATTCTCTGTTTTATTCCTGAACTTCTCAATTTAGGGCTTCTCAGCTTACTAGAGTTATCATATCTGGATTACAAAAACCATCTGGAGATGAAAGATAGAGATTTCTGTGCCTTGTTGCTGCCATCTAGTAGTCATCCAGATTTCTGCAGCCCAGATAGGGTAATTCAATTCAACCACCATTATATCTAGTCTACAGGGCTGGGCTCCCAACTTTCTTGTCTCTGCACTGTTCAGAAAAAATCAAAATCAGCCTTCCCCAAACAGGACTCCCAGTTATTTTTTATATCAATCCCCATCATTCTAGTCAGGAATTAAAATCTAATACAAAAAAGAGCACCAGGTTGGGTAGGCAGATCTAGGAGCAGGGAAGTCTAGATTCACCTTATATATTTATCGCAGAGACCTACATGACTCTGCATATGTACAGTTTGTGAGATAGTAAGGACTAGGGGTACTACCCCAAAGCAATTGACTCAGCCCTACATTGGAACCAGAATCTGTAGGAAGCAATCAATCCACATAGGGTTAATTGGGAAATAAGAGACAAAGCTGTTCTTATTCCAGGTCTTTGTCTTGGGAGGGAAGAGTCTAACACAATTTGGCAGGCATGAAAAGTGCTCTGACTTGCTTCCAAGATCTCCAGATAGCTATCAGAAAGCAAGAGAAGGAATAATACATTTGATTTCAGGGCCTCAGTCTACATCAGTGTTTCTCAACCTTGGCAGCTTTAAGATGTGTGGACTCCAACTTCCAGAATTCCCTAGCCAGCATTGGGGATTCTGGGAGTTGAAGTCCACACATCTTAATGCCGCCAAGGTTGAGAAACACTGGCCTGCATTACTGCTAGCCTTTTCAACCACAAGGACTAGCAAAGTATTTCCTCACAGCTACATCTTTCTTCTTACTACCATTCTTTTCTTTTTTGAACCATAACCATTTAGGTATAGCCTAAAATATGTTTATGATTAAGGTACTAATAAATGGGAAGTTCTGAAACTGTCAGATCCCATAATTTAATATTGCTGCCACTCTCTGCCTAATGGTAGAGCCAGCACTACTTCTTTCTACAGAATGTGTGCTAATCTTAAAAAGTTTGGGGAATGGAAATTCTTGCCAATAGAAGCGAATATGTGTGGCTCAGGGTTGAACTGTGGCGTCCTTGGGGTTCTCTGAGCTTGGTTGTTTCCTTGCAGACGTTTTGTTACCCGCTGCTGATTCTTGCTTTCTTGTGCATTTGGGCCAGGAAGAAGCCATATTTGTCTTTGGCAGGAACTGTGCTTTGCTTCTCTATCTAGCTTATCAAAACTTGATTGCAAACTTTGCTCACTTTGCTGTCTCCCCTTTTCTTCCCTTGTTCCCCTTCTCTTCCCCCCCTTTGCCTCTGCTTGGATTCCTTTCCCTTTTGCCAATGGCCCGCATTTTCTCTCTTCCTCTCTCTCTTTGTGCCAAAGCCCCTAAACTATGTCCCATACCCATCCATCCTCCCTTCAGGCTGTGCCACCTTCCTGGACCATCCTACTCTGGCCTTTGTACGCTTGAAGGAGGCTGTGGAGCTGGACTCTGTCCTGGAGGTTCCTGTCCCTGTCAGGTTCCTTTTTGTGGTTCTGGGCCCTGATTCTCCCCACATTAGCTACCATGAAATTGGGAGAGCCATCTCAACTATGATGTCTGAAAGGGTAAGTTGGAATCCCTCATTCATTCAAGTGGCCTGAGGAAATAATGGCATTTCCTGCTTTCAGAAAGGATTAGCAGGTGAGTATTCAACAGGGAGAAACCCACGTGTATAAGCTGAGAGCTAGGCTGAAAGTTTCCTCTGACAGTTTCTGAGATGAAGCAGTTCAGTGCATGCCCATTGTAGTTCTGATGCTGAAGAAAACTCTCCTTGACAAGGACAAAAATTAAATCAAATGGCACCAGAATCAAAGTTAGAAATCTGGTACAACAAGTATGGAGTGAAGAATGAAGGCCCAAAAGGCCTCCCTGCTGTTCCACCAGCATAAATGCCCAGAATGAGGCTGAATTATTTGAGGGATCATTATAATTATTAGAATTTATATCAGGTATAGAAAATCATAGGACTGTGAGGTCTCTCCAACCAGCAGGTGGAGCAGTTAGGCTTTTAATAAGCCTCCCATCTATTACCACAGATAGGGCATCATATTTGGACGGGCAAGATTAACTCTTCTCTCTCTGCTGCTTTGATCAGTTCAGAATATCAGAGCCTTGCACAATGATTTGTCTTGGAAAAGAAATTCCATGGATTTTTCAGTAGCTAATTGTTGCATGGGACGGCATCTGTCATGGATAAAAGTGTCTGAAATTGGGAAGTGTGACTTTGGCCTTGTCCTCTTGGTTCTCACTTTCTCCACCACTGCCATGCAAGATCTAGAGGGAACTGTATAGCCATCAGGCTGACAGAAGTTCCTCACCACTGAAAACTTTTGGCAAAGCACCTCCAAATTTTTGTCAATACAGGCAAAATGGACAGCTTTTAATACAGACATTTCAGAGCGTATAGCTTTAATAGCAAAGGCATTTTATTTTAGAAATTGTCGTAGTAAGAACTTGCTTGTGGACAGTTTATTTTTCAGTTTCATTGGTTTTAACATCTAGAGTTGCCTACATTCACTGATTCATCATAATCTGATAGAGAGAAGTATTTCAGATAGATCGATAAATCACCTTAACTCCTCACTGAACTACGGAGTGTTAACAAGTAACCTAAAATGAATTGTTGATGGGAGTTGGACCTGTCCCTTATCTACATTACCAGAGGAGTACTGAATCATGCAGAGTGGAGAAACAATCTCTGAAAATGAGTACGCGCAGATACACATGCACACGCACACACATACACGGTGCTTCCCTGAGTACTGTTTTCCTTTCTTTCTGGGAGTAGGTTTTTCGCAATGATTCCTATTTGGCCGAAAGAAGACAGGACTTGGTGAAAAGTCTGGATGAGTTCCTAGACTGTTGTATTGTCCTCCCACCCTCTGAGATCCAAAATGAAAGACTTCTCAAGATGTTGTTGCCAGTGCAGAAGGATTTCCTAAGGAAGAGGTACCTCCCAGCCGAGAAGAAACTGGAAGAGGAGCCTGTAAAAGACCTAGGTATGGCTTAGTGCAGGAGGATCATTTAGCCCATCTTTCTCAAACTCAGCAACTTGAAGATGTGTGGCCTTCAACTCCCAGAATTCCCCAGCCTATTCATGGGTTCCACACATCTCAAAGTTGCTGAGGTTGAGAAACACTGATTTAGCCTGCAGTTCTGGGCTTACTTACCAAGGAGTCAGGCATAGTGAACTCAGCATGACTTCCTTCTAAGAAGACACATGTAAGTTTATACCATTCGCTTCTACAAGAAGGACTAGAGGGGTACATATTTTAGTTTGTTTTTAAGATGGGAATTTGCTGAGAAACTAGTCTGGAAGATGTGCTGCCTCATATTTATTCAAGATGAGTGGGGATGGCTTGATTTTACCTACTAGAACAAGAGGTTTGCATAATTGTACCACAAAATCACAGACATTGGCACTGAGTATCAAAATCAGCATCCTGACAAAGCCACTGCCCCCTGCGACAAACTTTCCCAAGTGTCTGTCTTTATTTAATTTATGTCCCACCACAATCCCACAGGACTTTCAGCAGTTTTACAAGTTTTGTCTTTCTTTCTTGTGCCATCAAGTCAGCCTTGACTTCTGGCAACTGCCTGTACAAGTTCCTGCAGTTTTCTTGCCAACATTTTTCAGAAGTGGCAGGCCTTGTTCCTGGGGTTGAGAGAGAGGGACTGGCCCAAAGTCACCCAGCTGGCTTTGTGCCTAAGGCAGGACTAGAACTCATAGTCTCCCTGCTTCTAGCCCAGTGCCTTTAATCACTATCCCAAACTGGCTCTCTTTATTTGAGTACACAACCACTAAAACATTCATGGTCAGTATTAGAACAAGAACAGAGCCTTAAAAGCATACAAAAAATATACAGACATCAAAAAACCCAGGTATCAAGTCCCAAATGCTCTCCAGAGGAGCTCCAGTTTCAGCTGCTTCAAGCAGGCACCTATAGTCAGCGTGAACCTAAACTCTAGTGGAAGGTCATTCCAGAGGGTTGGCACTGCTACAAAAAAGCAGTGCCTCCAAACCTGGGCCACAGGTTCAATCCTATGTATGAAATGCATTGAGGAAATCTGGACACAAAGCGGGGCAGAGATAGAAAGACTGCATTGCCAGTATTCAGAAAATGAGAATTGGATACCTTTTCTTCTTGTCAATGATTTTGCAAAAAATAATTATGCAAACCGGAGAAATATATGTAAATTAAAATTTAGAGTGTTAATAGGATTTTTTAATTTTAAATCCTACAGTATGCATGAGCTCAGTGTCACATATCTTTACTATATATGTATGTACATATCTATGTATATGAGGTGCACCAAAAGTCAGGCCCTGTAGGCAACATTATATAAATGATATTAAATGTTCAAATTAGTTGCCATTTTCTTTTAAATACTTCCATATCTGTTTGATGCATAACCTTTGAACATTCTTAATTACAAAAACATTTTCTCTGAAAAAAAATTAATAAAACATATTGTGATTGATCTATGGGGCCTGACTTTTGGTACACCCTGTATATATTCTGGAATTGATCCTGGTCACTATGGATAGGTTCTGGAGTTGAGCTCTGGATCCAATACAAGGCCAGCATTGGTACATACCATCTTTAGGTAATGCCAGGACCCCAATCCCCAGCAGTACCTAGTGCTGGAACCTGCTGTGCCCTACCCCCCCATCCCCTTTTCTTCTCCTGACCCAGCAGTCTGAGCAATACCAAGTGGGTGGGTCTGGCCATACTTTTAATTTCCCACAACGATTCCAACATAGCATTGCTTTTGAACTGGTATGAACAAATACCATATGGCCTTCCCAGATGTTGTTGGACGTTGTATGGAAAGGATTCTGGAGAGGGAGTTCAAAAACATTTAGAGATCAACAGGTTGTCCACCTCTGCTCTCTGGCTTTGTGGCAAAGCAGAGGTATATCTGAATTCAGCCATTCAGTTCTGCATATGTGCAATCATTGCCACCAATAAACGTACCAGGAACCCTGACAAAAGAAGAGGCCCCAGCTATGACGGTTAAACACTTCTTTGACTTAATGATGTGGGATGGAGCAGAGAGGCCCTTTAGATGTTAATGCTTACTGCTTCAAAATGCGGGCCAGCCTCATGATATCATATTGTTCTGCTTAGGGGGACCCTGGACATCTCTCCCAAAGTAGGGGTACCCATGAGGGAGAGGAGGGTTCAGTTATATTAAAATGGTGGGCACGACCGGGTGACTGTAGCTATGCCTCTTTTTATATGTATGTAATGTGTGCAATGCACATTAAAAAGGGGAGAGGCTTCAATCAACTGGCCCTGCCTGCCATTTTGATGTTGTTGACACCCCCACCCCCAGTAGATGCCCTTGGCTCATAGTCTATCCAGATAACTCAGCTGGGAGCTCCTCAGATATTAAAGTTCTGTATTATACATTCATGATTATGAATGAAATAACTCCAGAGACCGCCAAATAATCTAGAACACATACCCACAAAGAAGCGGGCTCACATTCCAAGACATCACTCCCTCTGAAAACCTCCCCTTTCCTCTGTTCTTCTGTCACATGCAGAGCATGAACTGAAAGGCCATGACATCAAACCAGAAGACTCTGATGACTCCTTGCGCCGAACTGGAAGGATTTTTGGGGGGTTAGTGAAAGACATAAAACGTCGGTACCCCAAGTATCTCAGTGACATCACGGATGCTCTGAACCCGCAGTGCCTGGCTGCAGTCATCTTCATCTACTTTGCTGCCCTTTCTCCTGCCATTACTTTTGGAGGCCTTCTTGGTAAGAGAAATTAGCACCACATTGATAAATAATCACAAACTAAAGATCAGGAGGGTGGCACTTTTAGAAAATGCTCTGGAATTAACTTTCTGCTGGGCCAGACAGAACAACAAAGGAAAAGCAGCATGTCTTCAAATGAGTCCTCCAGATGTGTTAGGACTATATTCCTGGCCAGTATTGCTAGCACAAACCTTTCTAGTAAAATAATACATGCCAAATCATTTGTTTTCTCCAAGTTTGGTGATACAGATCAAAGCTAGAAACAGTAAGGGTAGAGTTACCAGATATCTGGACAGGCAAAGGAGGACATGGACAATTGGAAAGGAGGACAAATGGGGAAAGGAGGACACACTAACTGTTGAACTTTCTTGGCATCCACAACAAAACTTAAGCAAAAAAACTGCCAAAAAATGTACTTAGGTCTACATGTATATGAAATTACTTTTTCCAGCATCAGAAAGACTGATTTTTCAATTGCAATATTTTTCCAACAAAATATTTTTAAGAACATATGCTAGTGATAATATAAACTGATGACAATGAGCTTTCCAAATTCCACCATAGAAATGTATGACGAGTTATGTGATCTATAGATATAGTGATTATAGAATGATGTAAATCTAGGCTCTTGAGTCTGTCAATGGGCAAGGGAAAAAAAGGAGCAGACAATTTACAAGGTCACAATACACAAAAGTTTGAATGATGACTGTAGTGAAAATAGTCCAGTTTTTTTAAAAAAAAAACAAGATGCTCAAAAAGCCAGATAATATTTGACCTTAAGGCTATGCTTGCCAGACAGAAGACATGTCCTCCTTTTGCCGGACATCTGGTAACAGTAAAGGAGTCTTACTAAAAGATATTTTATTCATCTTGCTAAAACACATATCAGGTTTCCACTAAGTTATGCCCAAAATAGTTTCCATAAAAAGCAAATAGTGAAAAACAATGTGGAAAATGGAAACATTTATTCAGCTTCCATACCACTAAGCCTCATAGGATGCTCCAGTTGTGTGATGCTTCAGTTTTCAATCATGCAACTGTTACTTAATTATTTTTGGAGGGTGTTAGAGGGGATTTATGTATTGCTACAATGTATATCATAAAAGAACCACATCTCTTTTTGAACATATATAATGTGTGCAACGCACATTAAAAAGGGGTGAGGGTTTGATCACCTGGTCGCGCCTGCCATTAATACATAATCGATCCCTGATAAATATCAAGATCTCAACCACATCTCTGGGCACTTCCACACCCCCATCATTTCCACCATCTAAACCCTCCCTGCAGTTTCAGAAAGCCCTTTGGACATGCAGCGATTGCAGGAATGATGTTGAACCAAGCACTGTTCTCTCTCTCCATCACCAAAAATGGCTGCCAGCCCTTCCTATCCTTTCCAGCTGCCTCCTAAAATGTGTACACTGAAAAATAAATAAATTTGAGTGATCTGTATAAGCTAGAGCAGTGTTTCTCAACCTTAGCAACTTTAAGATGTGTGGACTTCAACTCCCAGAAATCTCTGGCTGGAGAATTCTGGGAGTTGAAGTCCACACATCTTAAAGTTGCTAAGGTTGAGAAACACTGGGCTAGAGATAGGGTTTCTTCCCCCAGTGAAAGCTGAAAGTAGCTTGAAAAAAGTTTTATGAGGTGTTTGTTCGATATGGTTTCATGTCTGACTAGGAGGACTTTGTATTGGAAAACATGCTTCCCTTGTGAGAAATATGCACGCATGAGACAGCAACTAATCCCAAACCATGTGGATCTCTGACTCCTGGAGTTGGGGAGAGGGGGATGGAAGAAGGCCTTTGCCTGTCCTTTTTTTGCTAATTGTTCCCTGTTGTTTCCAGCTGAAAAGACAAACCGTCTGATTGGAGTCTCTGAGCTTCTGCTCTCCACTGCAGTTCAGAGTGGACTCTTCTGCTTGCTTGGAGCTCAACCTCTGCTTGTAGTGGGATTCTCTGGCCCCCTTTTGGTTTTTGAAGAAGCCTTTTATACAGTAAGTGTCCTGCTAGAAATCACTATGACTTGCTGAGAGGAAAGTTACGCGGCCCAGATCATTGCTGCAAGATAGCAACTGGATCACCCATTGCCTTAAGCCATAACGTAGTTCATCTGAGCATAGTTTGTATGATTCCATTGATTGTGGTTTGTAAATAATAGTTTAGTGTGTTGTGTGTACTCAGCAAATTGTGGCTTAAGCAACTATGGCTAAGCAACTCAGTCATAGTGATGGCCATTAGCTTAAAGCAGAATAGACAATTTCGGAAATGAATGGGCAATTCATGGTTGTGAGACATGAGATGAAAGAACCTCCATGACTACTGGTAGTATATCTCACATTACTAGGTGCTGGAGACAGTAATAAAGAGGATTCTTCTCTCTCTTGGGAGTTTTTAGCTGACTTCTAATCAGGCAGTTTTTCATCTAGCAAAATTATTCCTATGTTGTTAAGAATTTGCCAATGTTCATGTTTTCTCAGTCTTATTTCCATAGTAATAGGATACTGTACCTTTTCCAGTCTGATAACGTGAATTAAGGTTAAACTCCAATAATAATCAACTAGTGCAACAAAGATTGGGCTGACTGTGGTTATGGGAATTGAAGTACAGTACATTTGGAGGATAGCATTATGAAAAGCTGTAATGATAAAAAACTTCTGAAGACAAACCTAGATTTCAGATATCTTAAATCTCCTCTCAGATACTAAATTTGAAGCTTCATCACTGTGATTATAAGCTTGAAAAACGTACATAGGTAATTTTTCCCTATCCTATTAAATGTGTTCAGCAGCAAATCCCAAAATTCCCAACTAATCAAGATAGGAGTTTCATAGATATCAACCTGGAAAGGCTGATAGGATTCAGATATCTGTCTCATTGAAGTGGAAGTACAAATGACAAATACTCCTCCCAAAGTTATTTGAAAGAAAGAAAACAATGGCAGGAAAATTAGCATTTCATCTATACTGTCTATGATTTCTTCTCTGTGTTCCTTCCCCCCCATCTCCATTTCTATCTGTATAGTTTTGTAAGAATAATGGCTTTGAGTACATTGTGGGAAGAGTCTGGATTGGCTTTTGGCTGATACTGATAGTGATACTGGTGGTGGCTTTTGAGGGCAGCTTCCTGGTGCGCTACATCTCTCGCTACACTCAGGAGATCTTCTCAATCCTCATCTCCCTCATCTTCATCTTGGAAACCTTCTTCAAGCTCATCAAGGTAACATGGCTTATTGTGTTTGTGCTTTCGGTCTTGTTGCATGATAGTTGCTGGTACAGTTTGGCTTATTATAAGCAGCCTTCCCCAGATGTGGGTACTCTGTTTTGGTGACTACAACTCCCAGAATTTCTACTCATTGGCTATGTGGTTGGTATTTTGTCTTAACATATCTCAATGGCACTACAGCAATAAGGCAACAGTGTTCCTTCAAACCTATGAAAGAGATCTCAAAATTCCTCTGCTGACATGTCTTATGTTTTTCTGGTGCCATGCTTGAGGCAAGGCTGACCATGGAGTAAGACACTAAATTCCTTTTCTTCATTATGTCAGTTATGACTTGTCTTCCTTGTCCTAGAATGCTGGACAATGCTATTTTGAAGTAGATTAGGGGTCCTGAGTTCTAAGCAGTATGTCCTTTGTAAGTACTATCTTTTTGTTCTAGATTTTTTTTTTAAGTTCTCACCAAATTAGAGAAGTTCTGGTCAAAATTAAAAGAAAGGCATGGTTACTTTTGCCACCTCACAGGTTCTCCATGCATCTGCCCAATCGTATTGTGTTATGGCCATATGTGTGCCATTGTGCAGCTTCAAGTCACTATTCTACTGTATATCACACTCTCAGGTCACATAACTTCTCTTATAGCAACTCTTCTGAGCTGACAAGAATTACTATATGTGTGTTAGTTGTATAGTTTGCATCTCCAGTGTCACAGATCCAGGGTGTGGGGGCCTTGCTGTCCATGTCATGGTCATGGATTACAAGATGAATAAAAGAAGAGCCTTTTTCCATCCCTTCATCTGGCTCCCAGTTTTATTACTTTTAGGCAAATGCTGAAAAAGTGTGTATTCCAAGAGACACTATATTTATTTCTGCTTCTCTTTTTTAATGACAACTGCCTTCAGTAATTACTCTGTTGCAAACAAATTTAATTGATGCTTTCAATGGTATATGTGGTTTAAACTTCTCTGGGTACTCAATAAGCAGAAGAGTGGGTATAAGATGACATAAACAACTAAATATTGTTATAAAATGGGCAAAGAAAAGTGTGCCTTTTTTGTGGCTGCCCCTACCTTATGGGACACCCTCCCCGCTGCAATTCAGCAGGCCTCCACTCTTTTAGTCTTTCAGAAGGCCATCAAGACCTGGCTTTTTACCCAGGAGCTGGAATAGAGTGAGGATGTCTGGAGTTGGTTGTGGGGCATCCCCAGGGGTTGACTGAGGTGCCAGGTTTTGTTTTGGTTTTATGATTTTAAATGTTATGATTTTTATAGTTCTGGGTTTTATTGTTGTAAGAGTTATGTTTTTAGATGGGCAGCCATACAAATATTTTAAATAAAGAAATAAAAGAAATAAAGAAATAAGAACAGTGAAGCAATGTCATAAGGTAAGAGTAACAAAAACATTCTGATAGCAGAGGTAAATAATACATGGTCCAATGATTTGAGGTTTAAAAAGAACATATGCGCATTTATTTAATTTTTTGTCTATCCATCCATCCATCCGTCTGCAGGAATCGCTGTTCTTTCAAATACTCAGTAAATGGCCTTGAGTAAATCATCATACCTTCTTTCTACATCTGTAAAAAGGGAATCACTATGACAGGATTTCTAATGGAAAGCAAACAAGCTATAACTATAAAGTGATGAGTTTGGGATTACAATGGGGTAATCATTGTAATCACCATGCCTACCATAGTAAATATTTTATAGTGTAGCTGTGATGGTACTTATTTACCATGACATCCTGGTCATTTTTATTCCCATTTTACAGATGGAAAAATCAAGACACAAAGGTCAGGCCTCCCAATATATCTCTGGTAAACCATACATGTTACTTTGCATGGATGGAAAAATGAAAGATACTCTGTTAACATCAAGCTGCTGGAACATACATCATGATTACAGTGTGTTATTTTGTCTCAGGTTGTAAAACTGCTTACATTTTGCCATAGTCTCCTTCCCCTTATCCTCACCATTAGATGAGTATTGTTATTAGTAATGGCCCTATAGCATCTGCTTTGGATATTTTGTAAAATCGCTTCAGATATTTGCTTGCCTACTCCTTCCTCAGCCCAGCCCACTCCCCAGAACAAGCTGGTCCAGGAAGCAACACTGCCAAGATACGGTTTCCATAGAAACTAAGGAACAGGAAGGATGGGGGGTAGATGGAAGAAGGATGAAAGGTTGCTCTTGCAGGTGGTTTCATTTAGAATTACCCCTGCAGGGATTTGATGGTACTGGACAAAGTAGTTCAGGACAACTGGACAAGACAAGGCAAAGATTTGGAGATGAAGAGCTGAAAGGCCAGGAGAATCAAGAAGCAGAAAAAAAACATGGGTGCCTAACAGCCATTTTTATATTTATGCAAAAGATCCAGTCGTACATTAGACTGCCCATCTCTGCCCATATTAATCTCTTCAGTCATCAAAAACCATCTTGCAGGACTATAAAGATTATACTGACACCAGTAACACCCACAAGAGGGTGCCACTGACCTCCAACACTGAATCAATTAATAAATGGGGTTGTTTGTTTCTTTAATTAAAAATGCCCCAAATCTCACAAAACTACTGGATTTTTTAAAGATCTCTATGTTCTTGCATGTGATAGGAATTTTCAGGTGAGGATGCTGTACTTTTTGATGACATTTATTTGTTTCTGGCACCACATGACATCACCTAAAAATCATATAATTCTTTTGAAAAGGCAGTCATCCCTGCATAATCTACAAAAGTTTATGTGATAATAGATTTGTTAGTCTTTAAGGTGCCACAAGGCTCTTTGTTGCTATTTTCTGTAAAAGATTAGCATGGCTACTCCTATTTAGCAAAAGTCAGCCTTCTCCAACAAACTACCCTCCAGATGTGTTGATTACAAATCCCAGAATTCCAGCCTGCATAGCTAGTAGGCAGAAATGTTGTGACTGAGTAAGGGCCAGCAAGTTGATGTCAATTCTTAGCAACCACGTGGATAGATTCTCTTTGGAATGATCTGTCTTCAACTTGGCCTTTTAGCCCTAGACAGGTGGAGGGTTCAGATCTTGGAGGCAGAAGTGTCCAAGGAGGGGTGGGGTGAAAATGGTAGGCACCACCGCGTGGCCCAAGCTCCATCCCTTTCCAGTGTGTGCAATGCATGCGTTATATTAAAAGGGGGCAGGGCTTCAATCACCTGCCATTTTGAGATTGTCAACCCCCCACTGCAGACGCTGCTGCTGGGAAGGCTGTTCTAAACAGTAGATGGATGCAGTTGCTGCCAATTCAATCTTGTTTTTAGAGCCTTTTTAAAAATCTGGAGGCATGGTACTACATTTTGCCAACTTCCTTCTTTCAGGAAATCTGCTGAGGAACTCTTATATAGCAGAAGATTCTGGGATAGTCTTGAGTTGTAGAGCCTGTATACACAGAACTTGGGTTGAGCATATTGGGCTTCATATGGAATCACATGGAACTTAAGCTCCTAGCTATGGATTTACAAGACAACTAGTTGGGATAGTGGCAAACTGAATTGTCTAGTGCCACCTATCCATATTGTTATTGGTTTCCCATCTAATTTCATGCAGCAGGGCTATTAGGAAAGGTTGCCCTGAAGCATTATCTGATCAAGACTGACAAAAGAGCACTGATAGCTCTATAGTCAAAAGATGGCCCAAGAAGTTTAAATGATGACTGGAGGTGACTCATGTAAATCTCGTTCTTCTAGCTAGGGAGGGAAGGGTTGAGATGCCACTGTGTAAAAGGAACAATAAGAGTGCAGTTTCAGATTTGGGAAGGGGGTCAAGAAGCACTTGATACTGAGAGTGGAGGCTAACAGCCTTTGTGTGCATATTTTTGAATCAGTCTTGACTCCTGGCAACTACATAGACAAGTCCATGCAGTTTTCTTGGCAACATTTTTTGGAAGTCAAAATTTGCCATTGCATTCTTCCTAAGGCTGAAAGAGTGGCTCAAAGTCAACCAGTTGGCTTCTGTGCCTCAGGCAGGACTGCAACTCAGATTTCCTTGCTCCCAATCCTGCACCTCTTTCCATAAGGACCACATTTAGATTAACACTGTATCCCTGCATAGATATTCAAGGGAAGGACTACTTATTTTGATGAGAGAGCAATTGAGATTGCAAAGTCTTATACATTTGCTTTAATTGCAAACAAGGAAGCAGAACTTAGGTAGAGGCAAACAGGCATTCTGATCTCAGGCAGAAGACTGCACAAAGATACACCCTGCATCTTCAGCCAGACTTAATTAGATGTTTCCTTTGCTCATTTACAACTGAAATAGGTTGAGTCCAACTCTTACCAAGTGTAAGGTGAAGAGAAACATTTCCTCTGCTTTGCTGTTTATGCCTGGAGTTACTAGTGGATGGCCCAAGGAGCATATTTAAGTGGTCATTACATAGGCCTCTCCTTAATACCACTTAACAGCTAGACCCCTTTGGTGGCTAGAGTAGTTTTCTTCAGCCTGGTACTCTCCTCCACTAGTCTCTTCTTGTGTTGGGACTACTACTCCCCAAATTGCTAGTCAGTATGACAGACCAAGGAGGCCATGATTACTCAGCCTCAAAAGCTGCCTTCCACCACAATGTTAGAATAAGGCAAGCATTCACCTAGCAAAGCCCAAATGGCATCCTTCTGGTCTCAAGGAATAAGACCGTCCAAAACCAGTTTAGCCCTTTTGTGCCATGAGAAGAATGAAGGCCTGAAGAAATAATTTGCCCACCCTATTGTAGATGAAAACATGCTTTTCATCTTTATCAGATGGATAAAAGTTAATATTAATCACCAACAGATATGAGCTTACATAACATATACTCTGTGCTGAGCCTGTTTGGACAGCACACACTGAACCACAAACCAGCCAACCACATCTGAGCCTGACATATTGTGCAATCTCAGCTCATGTGATTAGGGTTCAGTGTGTCTTGCACATCTAGAAAACTCGATTCAGTAAAATATGTTTACATTAATCATAGGCACGTAGCTGTATGAAGAACTACCCTACTGTTGTAG